CCCACACCCACACCCACACATACCCACACCCACACCCACACCCCACACCCACACACCCACACCCACACCCTTTTCTCTCGTCTCTTCTGAGACTTTGTCGTTTATTCATATCGGCATACTCTAAAATTGAAAATACATGAGCAAGTTCAATAAGTTTTATTTGATTAAATGTTCAAAGTAATCACCTTGATTATCTACACACAACTGCATTCTTTGAATCCATTTCTCAAACGTTTCTCTATACTCATCTTTATCCAAAGAATACATAAACTCGGTTATGGTGTGATGTAACGTTTCGGAATTAGGTTGTTCATTAGATTTCGTTTGATAAGGTCTAATAACCAAAAATCACAGGGAGATAGATCTGGAGAATTGGGCGGATGTGGTACTATGGTAATTACCTCTGAACGAAGATAATCGAGGACATCTTGATGAACATGTGATCGTCCGTTATCATGATGAAGTTTGATAGCATGAGTACCTGAGGAAGGTCTTTGTTTCTTAATTTCTTCGATCACAGGTTGCAAACAATTTTCGATGTAATAACGGCGATCGATAGTCTGTTCACGTTCGACACGATGGATTAGAAGAGGACCAGTTGATTTAAAGAAAATGCAAAAGAAAAATTTAGGAGCAAACTTATTTCGTCGTATTAATGTTGGTGGAGGATCATCTTTTGCCACCCAAGCAGCATTGGAAACTTTTCGACCAGTTTGCTGATGGAAAAACCACGATTCATCACCTGTTATCATGTCAGACAAACGCCATCTTCCTTCTGTAAATCTTGATCGATTTTCTTTGCATATTCGAACTCGTTCATTTCGTTGATAATCCGTTAGCTGTTTGGGTATGTAACGAGCAATAATTTTTCTAAGTTCCAGATGATCCGATAATATTCGATGAACGGTGCCATAGCTTAGACCAGTATGCTCCTGTAATTCTGCTATTGTAACACGAGGATCATCGTTAACAATACTACGAATTTCTTCGATATTGTCAAGAGTAGTCTCAGTTACAGGTCTTCCAGATCGTTCTTCATCTTCAAGTTCTTCTCGACCTTCACGAAACCATTGAGTCCATCTGGCAACTGTTCGATAGGAAGGAGCTTCATCACCAAAAAAACGTATGTAGCTCGTCGTGAATAGTTCTTGCTTCAATATTTAGTGCAGTAAGCACTTTAACGTAGAAACGAAAATTCTCTGTGTTCATTGAAAACAAAAATGAAGAGTGTTAAGAGCCGATTTAACTCTACTTCTTTTATTTTCTATCAAATAGAATAGTGCATGGCACGTGCACAAAAAGAAGCATGCATCTTTGTATTTATATGATAAACGATAAAGTCTCAGAAGAGACGAGAGAAAAGAATAAAGGAAAGAAGAACAACAAAGAAAAGATCACGAGAATAATGCATATTGGAGACACTGAACTTCTGTAACCGATACACATGTTAGGCAAACTAGTTTTATTAGGATTTTTTTATTATGATGTCACCTGAAGTATGATCAAATAGCATAGAAAGAAAGAGCTTTTTCGCTCTATCATCCTATGTAAAAAGAAATTTTTATCAACCTTAATATGTGGTAATAAAATGTCGTTGCCACTACTTTTGGATACCCCTATGTATTTAAAAATCAAGTGAACAACATAGGCCTTTAGAAAGAGTTTCCCTATACAATATTAAGACAGCATCGTGATTGTCATTAAAATAATCAACTGTCAATTACTATTGAATAAAATAAAATCTTTATAACAAAAAGAAAACAACAATGGATTTGTTTATATTGTGATGTGATTTTTTTAATACTTTATGGTATGTTATAAAAAATAGTCATCGTTGATCGCATCATATGCATCACGATAAACGTATTTAATTAATGATGTGGGTGTGTGTGCGTGTCTTTTTGAACTCAACATCAACACACCCACACTCACCCTATTCGTATGATTTATCGTTAAAATAACATATGAAAATTTTCATGCTTTCATAAATGAATGGCCATCTTAAGGTGAATACAACAAAAAAGCATTATTCAAACCATTTGACTAGAATTAGAACTGTAGCCAATTTTCTTTCTACAGTCCAACTATATTGTCATCGTGCTCATTCCAGACGTGCACCGAATGCAATACTTCTCGGTAATTGTTCGACACAAATACAATTTCCAGACTAGAATAAGTTTACATTCTTCCACTTCTGAACAATGTATACTTTTATAAACAATGCTTAAAATACGATAATATCCGTGCATTATTAGGAAAAACACTGAAGATCGAATCAGGAACATCAAAATGAATTATAACAAGGAAAAGAAAAATACACGTCATAGAATCGGCAAATGTGTCCCCCATGTACAGAATAAAGCACACATGATAGGATGGGGAAAACAGAACTATACTAAAAACAGAAAAGAACATGCTAAAAAGGATAATATGACAACATCTAGATTTTGCACTCAACATTCTCCTCCACAATTTTCCCGAAGAGAATATTTCTTCCCTCATAGGTAAAAAAGTGTCGGTGAGGAGAATCCCAGTTACTTCTTTCGAGCCATATATATATATATGACATACGATAGTGCAACAAACAAATGAAAGTTACATTGAAATACAATTGTACTACATTATCAGAGTAAGTATACTGTTCTCCTCGTCCAAGTGCAATATTTTCATTAGTGAGTATCAATATTTCTTGAAACGAACTGCATTCATTTGATGAGTCTTTCTAATAGATATTATATCAAGTCCTTCAGCTTTCTTACTCTTCGTGACTTTTGAAGAAGTCGACCAAACTTTGTTTTAGTGATTCGCAACAGTTCATTTCTAATAAACTTCGAGAAAAAGGATACTTCTTGCGCAGCGTATCCTATCATTCTGAAAGCTTTTATTTATGTTTCTACATCAACTTCATTGAACTAAAGTTGTATCAATATTTGCGAAATATATTCTTAGATGTCTCTGAAAAAAAAGATTTTCTCTAGTAAAAACAGTTTTTTTCTCAGAAAACTTGTTATTACTCTTAGAAAAGTCGATATGTCGTTTTTAAAGTATCATTTTGTGAGGATATTTTCTAATCCTGTTGATGGAAAGAAAAAGATTGTTACGATCTTGAGAGATTATCGAATCCCTAAGATAGCATAGTGTCATAATGTTTAAGATTTGTTTTTCTTTATTTGAACGATGAATGAGACTTAGGAAATATAATTCGTAGTTCATGAGATATAAAACAGCTTTTACTTTTAGAAATCGTCTATAAATACTAACCGACAAAGAACTACGATCAGAAAATGATTAGTATTCAGTCTACATGGACTTTAGTTACATTTCTGGTGGTGAACATTTTGAATCTTGATCATGTGAAGTGTAATGTGAATTGGAACGGAAATAATTGGGCCATGTCATGCGATTTCCGGGGAAAAGATCTATACAGTGTTCAGATTTCAGGAGAACATTGTGGTGGTAAATGTGCTCAAACTCCAGGATGCACTCATTTCGCATGGACTAAGTACAACGGTGGTACGTGTTGGATGAAAACAGGTGGAGCATCGAAAAGTGATGCATTCGCAACCAGTGATCCGAATATGGTCTGTGGTGTCATAGCTAACAAACCAGAAAATAAAGCTAGCGGAACTACTACTCGATACTGGGACTGCTGCAAGCCCAGTTGTGGTTGGCCTGGAAAAGTTTCCGGATCGAATGCTCATGTGAAAAGCTGTCGTAGAGACGGTTACGGTACATGGAATGATGGAAATGTGCGTAGTGGATGTGATGGAGGTGAAGCCTTTTCTTGCAATAATCATATACCATGGGCTGTGAGTAATCAACTTGCCTATGGATTTGCTGCCGCAACAATACCAGGATTATCGGAACAGCAACGTTGCTGCGCTTGCTACAAATTAGATTTCACGAGTGGTCCCGTTGTCGGAAAGTCGATGATTGTGCAGATCGTTAACAGCGGTTCTGATGTAAGTGCAAATCAATTTGACTTGCAAATTCCTGGTGGAGGCGTTGGAATTTTCAATGGCTGTACTTCCCAGTGGAAATCGCCAAGTGAAGGTTGGGGCAGACGCTACGGTGGTGTTTCGTCTCGTCAAGAGTGCTATAATCTTCCCCCTGCTATTCGAGATGGGTGCTTTTTTAGATTTGACTGGTTTAAAGGAGCCGACAATCCAAATATGGTGTATTCTAGAGTGCAATGTCCTAAAGAGCTTGTCAAACGTACGGGATGCTCTCGAAACGACTAATTTTATACTTATACAGTCCATTTTTTTTTCTCTCATTAATTATTTTCTGTTTTGGACAAGAACTTCTCTTGTATCACTATTTATCATACAAATGAGAGCATAATTTAAATAATAAAATCTTGCATCTAATATACTTCTCTTTATCATTAAACTGATGCTTATCTGAAGTCATTTGTATAAAAGAAAAATTTACTGATCGCAAATCAGAAAATTCTTCTTCAATCAAACTCAAGTATAAAAGATGTTCATTAAAATCTGGAAAGAGATGGTCGCAATAGTCCTGTAATAATTAGTATGAAAAATGCCACCAGCTATTGAATTTCTTGAGGTTGTGGGTGTGGTTACTGATTTGGTAAGACTAACACCCTTCTTTTTTATTAATGAATAATATTGATGTTTGATATTGAAGAAGAAATTATAATCGAAAAAGTAAATCAATCAACACAAGAACATGATATCTCAATAAATCATACAATCGATCATGAAGTAAAGTATTTGATGATGTTGTTTGGAGATGATTTATTCTTTGTTTCGGTTCAATGTTTGAAATTCTTTCAGTTCATTCTACTACCATATAAATGTTTAATTAAGATTGTCTCCTGAACTTGATCGAATTTCTTCTCAAATCATAATTGATTTGGTCTCTGATTGTTGAAAATATCATTCTAGTTTTTAATTAACGTTGATATTCATGTAAAACACTTCAAAACGAATGAAACTGGGTGTGGGTGTACGTATTCATTCCATTCGTACCCACACCCACACTCTCATACATTGAATCAATTCTTAAAATTTGATTGAAATTTTGCGAAACCTAACCGTCTTCCACTGATGTATTCGTCAGACTCGATTATAGATTAGTTGACTATAAAAGGACTACGATTGTTGATCGAAACAGTACTCATCATTAGTATGACGATTTATATATTGTACTATTATCAATGAATATCTAAATAGTACGAGTTGTTTACAAGTAACGTAGGATGCAAAAATAATGGCACAAAATATCGATCCTTCTTTCTCTTCGATAGAATGGTGCTGGAAGAAATGTTTTTTTTTTACCAGAAGAAAGAGCTTTTTCTCCTCTTTGGAATCATGTATAACTTATTTCTATAACACATTCATAAATGAAACGACATAGCAGAAAAGAGAAGCATCCTTAAAAAAATCCGCACTTTTCTATAAAAGAACTCCGCAAAATATCGATTCTCATAGCTCTTCGATAAATAGGTCCTGAAAAGAATATTTTTTTTCAGTTGCTAAAAAATTTTCTTCTCTGTCGAACAGTGTATGATTCATATTTATCACAGATTGATAAACGAAACGAGAGAAATAAAATGAGAAACACTGGCGCAATAAATTTGTGACACTTTTATATGAATTCATCAAACGGATTTTGTAAACGACGATAGTTAATTATTATTAACTGTCGTTTTACAAGGACTTTTTAATGAGTCCATAAAAATCGAATTAATTGTTGTCTAACAAGATGTTGTTGACGAGTTCATCTACAAAGGGTGGGTGGGAGTAAATGGACATCAACATCCACACTCACACCCACACATTATGTTGACTCATAGGTGTAATATGTTTGAGCTGCATCATTTTGATGAAAGATTGAAGACGATTTTTGATTTAAACTTCGTATAGCACAGAGATTTTTCTTGCTGATAATAATTTCTTTAATTGTGTTTATAATAATCAGTATTGTTATGAGATGAAATTTTCTTATCTGTTTTATACTTCGCATTAATACTGAAATAGTATATGGAAATTGCAGAATCTTTTTTTTCAGTTTAATTAGTTTATTGAGGAAAAAACTTTAGAGCTAAGAATGGCTATTTATTATTTATGTTATATCCATCAAAGTGATTATGACACTAGCTGTAATATTCTGGTCTATAATTATAGTCAAAAGAAAAACAAATTTAATTTTTCTATGTACCATACTAAGTTTTAATCAAAAATCTATAATGAGGCTGTGCATAGATAAAAGCTATTAAAATAAATATTAAAAAAAAACAGATTTTTTAGTGAAAAAGAAGATATGTTTTCAAATAATCAAAATATTGAAGTTTGAATTAAAAAAAAAACAAGAAGAAATAGGAATGTTTAAATGTATATAATAAATTATGTTTGTTTTTCAATTAGGTTTTCTTCTTGTAAGTTCAATATTTAAACCACCTTCTGGTGCATTAACAACATCGGCAGCAGCATAACATGCTTGTAATGTTAAACATTCATGTGTACCTAAAACATAATCTAAATTGTTATTCATAAAATTAGTCATATCAGCTTGAGCATATCGTCCAAATTCATCGGATTCTTCTCTTATTTTTAATTGTTCTGCTAAATTTGGAAAACCAGATCTTAATGGTGAATGTAAATCAAAATTCTCTTCCGATGGATCTTTATCTAAAATACATTTATAAACTAATTTTGCAAGATCATATGCATATAATTCAAGCCATGCTAATGTTTCTTTATTTGAATTTTGTTCATATTGATTTGGATTAAAGTTTTTTGCTAATGAAATAATTTCATTATTATCTGGACGTGTTTCACCAATCATTGTAAACCATGCTATATCAAAATCAGTCATGTGTAATGATAATGCTGTATTACGCATAAAATCTCGACATGATTTACTACAAAGATACATTTCATGTAGTTCATCATAATTAATAGTTTTTAAACCTTCATATACACTTAAATAATTAAGAAAATGTGTTCCACTATGTGCAGATACTCGTTCAACAGTTATAGCACGATTGTCAAGTAATTTTGGATTTTCACCTCTTAAATTTCTAACTGTTATATTTTGATTAATTGTTCCATGACCACCACGTTTTGATGGACGTGAACTTAAATTTCCTAAAATAACTGATATCCATGGTGCATTTGTAAATAATTTATTAAAACTTTCATTTGCTGGACGTTTATCATTAGGATTATCTAAATCTCCCATATAATTAAAATAAGCTTCACGCATAACTTGACAAGCTTTGTGAAATTTTTCAATATTTTTTCTTTCATCATAACCTTTTGGTGCTCGACGTGGTAAAACATAATGTTCACCATTTGGTTTTAATTCCGTTTGTGCACGTGCATGAAGATTTTGTGCAACTAATGATTGTAATGTATGTAAAGCAATTGATGATGGAGAAAATAATATTTGCATTTGATGACCTTGAATTGTTAATAATGATGGACCAAGAGTTTTAGCATGACAAAAACGTGCTGCTCGACCATTATTATGAGCAACTTCAGTAACACGTCCACCACCACGTTGTAATGCAGCACCACCACCACTAAAACCACAAATAATTAAATTTTTTAATTCTGGATATTTTAATTTAAATTGATCAAGCATTGAATAAATTTTTCCTAAAGCTTGTTCTTGTGATGATTCAGCTCCACGACCATTACGTCTAACAGTATCACTTTTAGCTATCATTACAATTAATTTTTCACGATAAAATAAATGTTTTCGATAAATTGGATCATCAACTAATTCTGTTATTAAATTAGGTAATTCTTCTAAATCTTTAACTGATTCACTTAATGTAACTATATCAATAATTGTTTCTTTTTCAGCTACACAATTTCCAGATGCTTTTAATAATAAAAATGCAGCTAATACATGAACTATTGAACTTGTTTCAGCTATTATTAACTTATTAAATATATCATTATCATATTTAATTAATTTTAATCTACCAAATACACGTGCAGCTGTTTTACTACTTTTATCTAATAAATCATCATCAGTTAACATTAGTTTTGCAATTATATTATCATTATTTAACCATTTAATTATACTTTCTTTTTGATCTATTAATGATAATGACGAAAAATTTCCAATTAAACCATTCACTTTTGCTAAATGATCAACTGTTTCCATTATATCAAAAGCATTATGACGAATATCAATTTGAGCATAATGAAAACGAAAAGTTTTTACTTTGTAAATAATATCTTGTGTATGAGGAATACATTCTAAATCATTAATTAAATCATTTGGTGATTTATATAAATTATTAATTAATTTATCTTGAATAATTTTTTTCTGATCGTATGATAATTTTTTAATATCATTTAAATATAATTGTTTAATACGTTGTTTTAATTGTAAAACAGCTTGTTTTAATGCATAAACATCAGCATTTTCATTTCCATCTCCATCTCCAGCTGCCCATATTGATACTTGTATAAGAGGTCTATTAACATCAATTAATTTTTCATAAGATGGAGTTTGTTTTAATGCTTCAATTAATTCATCTCTTACTTTAGTTGATGTTTCATAAATAATATCAATAATAGCAATTGTTTCTTTAACTTCTTGTTGAACAGTTTTTTTTTGTCCAACTAATGTTAAATATTCAAGTAAATGTAAATGTTCTTCATAATCAATATGATTCTCTAAATATTTATCAAATTGAATTCCACCATGAATTGTATAATCAGTTGATGTTGGATTCGTTGGATGCATTGTTAAACTAAATATAGCATAAGCATTTTGATTAAAAAATTCTGTAACTTTTTCTTCTGGTACATTTTCATCTTTCATACGAAAAAAAACATATTCAAAACGATCAGCTGTTGCTGTACTATTTGGATTTTCAATTTTTTCATTATAGATTTTTGCATTAACAAATTTTCTTACACGACGTTCTAAATCCATTATTTTAGCATAATATTCTAATAATTTTTCTCTTTCAATACTACCAAATTTTAAATCATTTAAAATTTTTTTATAAACTTCAATACGAATATCACGATTTGGATTTGTACAAATATTAAAAATTTCTTTTAAATAATAAGCTAATGTTTCATTTTCTTTTGAGATTTCATTTATTAATCTATATCGAATTGTTTCTTGATCATCATTAAGTTCTAATATTTCTTCATCCATTATTAAATTTATCTAAAACAAAATTATATTCAAATGTTACACCACTATTAAATTAGATGTTAATCTTCGAATATTCATTTTTGAAGATAAATTTATTTTCATCAATCAACTCTCATGTATTTAATGAGTTTTGCAAAAAAACATATTGTTGATGTCTTCTTTTTAATTATCTTCAAAGTCACTAAGATTTCTCTTTTTTTTTGTTTTTTGAAGATGATTTTATCTGAGAAAATGATATGTTCGATTGAATTGAACAAAATAAAAACCGACTAGATTCATTTAGGATATTTAACAGTTTACTCTTCAATTGCCAATGGATTCGTCATTCATAGAATGATTGCAGAATACAATCGAAACATCGGATTAGAAAACTTTATTAGCTATCAATTGAAAGAAAGTATCATTTTTTTTTCATCGCTTCCTCTTTGATATAATAGCCTTACAAAATTGATCATTGGAAAAAAAATGAAATTTTTTATGAGATATTTTTCGAATGCATCACCATAACTTGACCTATTGTATACATTAACTCACATTATTGATCAAGAACTTACAATAAAGCATCTTTAGACTAATTAAGAGAAATGATTATTTATCTATAATAATCCTCAGTTCATCAGAAATTATAAAAAGTTCTAAAATACGATAGATGCCTTTTTAAGAAGATATGATAAAAACACATATATTCTTTTGATGACTTTTTGTCGATTTATTTCTTCTTTTTTCGATTACTCGAATAAGATTGAATAGATAGTACATTTGCTCACTCCATAATGGGGGACAAAGAAAAAACGATTAATGATAATTGTGTTATTCCATCACCTACTTCATAACATGGTTAATTGATCAATTAAATGACCTTATATAATGAAGGTAGACACTCAGTGGATTAGACCACATTATTGTCATACTAGACGCTCGAGTACTCTATTCTTATTGTTATTTAATCAGTATCTCTTTCAACAACCGCTGCAGAGGATAAATGATTCATTTTGCACTTAAGCAAGTATTTTTTTGATTTTGCGTTCTTGAAATTATTGCAATAGATAATCATAGCTTCTGAGGACGTGCTTCGATAATAAAAGAAAGAAAGAAAGAAAAAAAAATACTTTAATACTTCGTTTCGCATTACCTTAACAAACAAAGAAAATAAACGCGTCAAGGACTGTATTACATACCACATAAATAATGAAATTTTATTGTGTTTAGAAATATCGATTAAGTTTAATTAATCGGTTATAATAGAAGGGCGAAAATGAAACCGAAAAAATATTAGTGCTCATGAGCAACTTGAATCATGATATTGTCACTTTAAATCATAAATGACTAATCATTTTTTTTCGGTTGGTTTCGCTTTCATCTTCACCTTTTTATTATTATCTTCATGTGAGTATTCTACTTTTACCGGATTGGTTTATTTCGTATAGCAATAACTATATAACTTTGAATGAATTGATTATCAATATATGAACAAGCAAATATTTTTCTAAACAAAAGTATCGATTTTATTTATTTTATGTTCAATCGAAATTATAACTAAATATATAATACGATTCGTCACAGACAATATAATTAAGACGAACTTTATTTTAACATTTTCACAATTGATATTTAAATACTTGACAAAATAAATTTATTTCAAAAACAAAATTAAATTCACATGTTTACTAATAAAAGTTTTTCATTTACATAAATATTTATAGTTAAGATAAATCCTAAGAAAAAACATGCCTTAAAATTGATCTTATTTGTATGACTCTATAATTACTGACTAAAATCGAACCAATGTCTAATCGTAGATAAATATTACAGTGAGATATAGATATTACTAGATAATAAATTCATGTTCATCTAGATTTTAACTGATCTATTAATAAAATTGAATATCATTCTCTTCTATTGACTAAAATCTATTTATTAATTATTCAATAATAAAATGAATGTATAAATATATAATAAACATTCGAAGAAAAAATACATTTCAATGGTTATTTATTGATTGAGCTTTTTTTTATTTTCTTATAATTCTCTTTTAAATTTTTTTCATAATTTCGATTAGAACATCTTATTTAATATAAATCTTAATAATTATCAAAAAGAAAATATTTTTATAATAATCGAATTTACCCGTTTTCCTCAAACCAAAAACTATTTGATTTATTCTTAGAAAAACAAAAAAAAAAGAATTTCATAAATGAATATAGAATATTTTCAAATGATAATAAGACAAACCTTAATTAGATCGAAAATAATAACAAAAGAGTCGTTTTGTAATCATATTTTGTTTTTTTTCTTTTTCTTTCGTATCGTACAATCATTATGATAAATAAATAAACAAAATCACACAGTACGTAAAATGTTTCTCTTTTCTATCGTACTAGATATAAGTCGACACGTGACTAATATTATAGAGAAACCATCGATATTACATTATAAATAATGTTACGGACGACTAGATTCTATCATTTAGATCGATTTATTATGCATATATTTAATATCAATTTTTAGTCGCACAAAACTATTTTTCAAACGAATAATTTTTATGGTTTGTCCAAACGTAATGCCGTGACGTTTTTGACAAACTTTTTTTTGCATTATCTCTGAAACTATGAAAGCAAGAAAGATCATTTGACGAAGCTTGTCAAACTCTATTTATGCCATAAAAATGACTTTTTTCCATAAAAGTCTCGAGCATCGAGAAAGAGTTTTTGATCGCGTAACGCTGTAACATAAAAAGACCTTTTTTCTTCAGAGTCGCTAAGAAAACTGTAATTTCTTGTGAAAATATTTCTCTAAATGAAACACTTCTATAGCCAGTTTTGAATGAGCTTTTAAACGCTAAAAAAAGATTTTCTTTAAACTATTTTTACTCAGATATAAAATGCAGAAAAGCTAAAGTAACGCTTTAACACAGTTTTTTGCCGACCAATTTTGAGGCACTTAACATGGTCAGAACGATTTCATTTTTATAAGTATTAGTCTTTTCTGTATACCTAATCATTCTGGGCAAGAACAAGATCGATACATCGCCATGGAAGCTCACAGGAAACGCAGTTAGTTGCAAACTATATATGAATCTGCAAAGTGTTTTTAGTCACGAGAGTCAAAACTAAGTAACCCATTTTGTAGAGAATAAAATTCTACGTCGAATGGTATGTTCCTTAGCTTTTTTTGGAAAACTTTCTTGTTTAGCAAATCCAAAATACGACTTTTGAAAAATTTAAAAGACAATTTTCAATGGCAAAATCTAATTTTTGTAGAAAATAAATGTCTAAATCGTAATCAGCATTAAAAGTTGCATCGAATAACTCATTCAGATCTATCCAATTTGAAACAAAATTTTTTCGAAACTTGATCAGTAAAGTGTCGTGTTACGTGGACAAGCTGTTATTCTTTATTTCATATCAATCAGAATTATTTTCATTTATTTGTTTTCGATCTTTAAATAGGAAAGTTTGATAAGATAGATAGTACAAAAACATAAGTATTTAATGAAATAAAATTGATCTTAAAATTTTATAAAACCATTGTAAACGTCTGTCTAAAGAATAAATAATCATCATAAATAAATTTAATTAATTTTCATATGATTAAAATGTTGAGAAGTTCTTGATAATATTTTTAACAAAAAAAAGATATTTTATAAAATAAATAATATTAAATAAACACATAATTATTGAATTAAATTTATTAAAAAAAACTAGTTCGTTGGTGTTGTGTAAATGAACGTGAATATAAAAAATGTCAATCATGGTCAAATGCATTATCATCATCAAATATAACATTATCAAAATTAATTTGTATAGCTGGATTAGATAAATTTGATTGTTATAGAAAAATTTTTAATGATGAAGCAGATTTAATGACTGCTGATTCAGGTGAAATATATACAGCTGATAGATATTATAATCTTGTACCTATTGCTAATGAAATTTATGCACCAACTTTTAATGGTAAATAATAATAATAATAAATAAATATATAAACAAAATGTATATATATATATATTGTAATGTATGCTGTTGCCGTTGCTAAATGTACTGATTTAACAAGTAATTTATGGAATTTACGTGGAAAAACAATTTGTTCAACAGCTATGGGTGATCTTGCTGGTTGGCATGTCCTGTTGATTATTTACATGCTATTAAAGAATTATATATAATAAAAATAATAGGTGAATATTTTGGTCAAAGTTGTGTACCAGGTTCTCTTGATTATGATTATAATAAATTAAAAATAAATGCACGTGCATTATGTTTAAGATGTTATGCTTAAGGTTCAGATTATTGTTCACGTCACATCGAGAAATGTTTTATGGAAGTTCAGGAGCATTTCGTTGTTTAATTGAAGGTTTATTTATTTATTTATTCATGAATAAAATAAAATTTTTTGTTTTATTTTGAATAAAAATAAAAAGTCGTGGTGGTCATGTTGCATTTGTAATGCATACAGCAGTTATATCAAATACAGCTGGAAGAAATATTGATCAATGGGCTCGACCATTACGTGCAAATGATTTTGAATTATTATGTAAAAATGGAACACGTAAAACAATTGAAGCTTATAAAAGTTGTCATTTACTTCGAGTTCCAGCTAGAGTTTTAATGACATTAAGTTTGAATATTCTCTTTGTTTTTTCTTATTTTATTTGAAGATATGTTTTTGTTTTCATTAGATTTATTTCCAGATTTAGATAGACTTTATATATAGAATATGCTTAATTTTGCTCAACAATTATTTGGATCTGATACGTACGAATCGCTTTTTTATTATTAAAAGTTTGACAAAAAAAACTAAATAATTTATTTTTATGTTTTGTTTAGAAATAAAGAATTTGCAATGTTTGATTCATTTTATGAACATCCAGATTTAATGTTTCTTAATGATGCAACAGTGCAATTAACATGTATAACAACAAGTCTTGATGATTATCTTAGTCCAGATATAATACAATTATTACATCGTACTGATCCACAAATGTGTAATATAGCTTCATATCATTTTATATCATATAACTTTTTCTTTTTTCTAATATTTTATTTGTATAAATAAATGTTTCATGAATCTCTTTGAATAAGAAAACCTTTTCTTCCTAATCTTCTTTTTGCACAAAGAGATCAATTTTATATATAATCTAAAACGCACTTTAATCCTATTGATAGGCTCAATTTTTTTTTATACATTATAGATAAATAATAAACAAACATTAAGGTAAAACATAGGTTTTTTTTTTCTTTATTGTTTATTTTAATTTCTATTCTATTTTAAGAATAACAACAAGATTAATTCAATAAATAAATCAATATTATATATAAATATATTTATTTAAACTATTGCTTAACAAATATTGAGATCAATTTTTAAGTGAAATAATAAATCTTAGTTAATTATGATTTATGTTTGAAATGAAGAAAATTAACTATAATAAATATCTAATAAATAAATAATGATTGAATATTTTTTTTATTAATTATTTTAATATTTATTTATGTAGAAGTGTTATATTGTCCAATTGGAAACAATTATTAGAATTTATAGGTTTTATCGCTATATATTTGTCTATTTAAAAAGAAAAAAAAATATCGAATATAGTTTGATAAATCATTTATAATACGAATAATAATCAAATAAAAATATACCTATTTATTTAATCGTTTTTTACTTTCCAATTATTAATCGAATATTGATGATTACTTTTAGTTTTTTTTTTCATTAAACAAAAAAAATCTGTAAGCTTAGAAAGCATTTTTTGATGAAAGAACCTTTTATATGTTGATGATTAGTAGAATTAACGATCGGATATTTTTTAATTTTTAATTATTCATTTAACAAATAAATAGATATTAGTTTTTTTAAATTTAATCTAATTATACATGTATTATTAAGAGAAACTTTGTTTTCTTTTTTCAAAAGAAGATATTTGTTTGATTAATAAAACGATTTTTGAAATATTATTTCTATAAAATGATGTTATTCTTAAATTAAATCAATAAAGAAAAATATTGGTAGGATAAGATATTCTATAAAATAATTATTGATAGCATAATTGAGAGAGAGATGGTTCATGTAAAAACTTGATATTCCTTTGAAATAAAATCGATTTGAATTATATTTATTTAACGGAATTCTTTGAATATGTGGTGTGGGTGTGGGGTGAGTGTCAGTGTCGGTGTCAGTAGGTGTGGGTGTGGTGGGGGTGGGGGTGGGTGTGTAGGTGTGAGTACGAACGCCGTCTTCTACACGCTCACACCCATCCACACTCGCACCCACACCCACCGACACCGACACTCACACCCACTCCCACACCGACACCAACACTCCCACACCCACACCCCACACCCACCCGCAGTCAGAAACCGGATTTTTCATGTACATTCATAAGATATGTTTGAAAATGCTAGTCCATTTTCCATAAGTTATACTTTCTCGACTGGTTAATATTTTCTTGTTTAGCCATTTTTTTGTGGTGGGTGGTATGATGATATAAAATTACTAAGCCAAACCTTCGACATTTTTAGTGTTAGCCAAAAAGACGAGACAATGACAGAAGGGTCACATCCACACAAAATAGCATAAAAGGAAAATATTACCAAGTTTTGATTGTGGAAATATGACTTGGACTGATCATTAGATCATAACGATCATTGTCGGTTGTATCGAGAATTAGAGAATCGACGGTGGATTCTCTTTCAAGCTGACAGAATAGTTTATGGTCTATTTATAAATATGTTTTTGGACTCTGAGCAGTATTTGGTATGTCAAACAGACATATTCAGTCAAGAAAAAGAAAGATTTTAAAAATTTCCGCGATTAATCGTCGATTTTTTGCGATTTCCATGACATGGATGTATATTGTTTTTGCATGTTCACGCCCAGACCGCTTCTTATGCTCGTTTTTAGACTGTTTTTTTTTTAATGTTTACGAAATATCTTCATCATGAGATCATTTTCGAGCTCTTACTTAGTTATCAGTGGCGATTGGAATTAAGGATAGCTACGTCTAACTTGCGTCATTCTTTTTTTATTTGAAACGACTTTTCTCTATCTACAGAGTTTTCTCACGTTTTAATTGTCAGGTAAATAAAAATATTCCCATAATTCAAATAATGGCAATTGTTCATTTGTCAATACTGTCTTCTCCATTATTACCAACGTATCAAATTGTACCCTTAACATATAATTTGTCGTCTCAAAAGTTTCATCATTCCGAGTTTGTATCATAAACAACACTTCCCGTTTCACTGGATTCCATACATCTTTTGTGACCTCTATATCTTCTCCCTGCTTTGTTTTAAATAACATAACTAGTGATTCATTTTTATATGGAAATTTTCCACTTTGATATGGATCCAGATGAAACATAAAAAGACTCAATTCAATTGAACCATGTTGCCATGTACACAAAACCAATTTTGTCTTCTCAATATCATATGTCATCGTTAAGAAATTATGTACATCTGGCATCAGATGAAAATCTGTGACGATATCTTCTTTCACTCCAACTAAATTTAAATCCATTTTAATCCAATATGCATTTACACTTGGATTGTCAAAACGTGTACGCACTTGAATAATCCAGTTTTCATTATAATCAAAACAGGAACACCAAGCAAATGGAAATGTATATTTCTCACCATCTTGTTTTGTATAAACTTTAACAACGTCTAAAGTTACCGTATCATACTCTTCGATAAACAAAGTAAATGTAGAAACGTCTCGTAATCCAAAGAGACGTTTACGTAAAGGATCATAGTGTAGGAAATGAAAGTGCCCATCTTTTAATATCCATTTACTTTGACGGTATTCTCTGGTTTTATAGTTGTATGAGAACAGTAACAAACGTTGAAATGAAGTAGCGCATTGAATAGGCATGTAGATAAGGTGCATATCTGGATTTATTGCAACGGGGCCAGCAACAAAATAGTAGAGGTCAGATTTATCATGTACATCAAAGGTGAAATTGGCAACATCGGATAGTCTTTTTAGGGTGGTGTCGAAGACAGAGATGTTGCCATAGTGTGGAAAGATGTCGGCACTGAATTAGGAATGTCAAAACAAGTCAAAATTGCATTGTGTGTGAATGTTCAAAGAGCTACCTACTTATGATATGGTTTTATTGTATAGTATTCCGAAGTAATAACAGTAGTGGGTAGAAGGAATAAAACTTCTAGACAGATAAGTAACATGGTTGCAAATGTGCGTATTGTAACACACTTGCTATACTTTTATTTTGTTTTTTCTCTTATCTAAAGTAAACATTAGGCAATTCTTTATAGAATAACAAGAACAGTAAGAAGCCAAATGTCGATATCAGAATGAATTTGCAAGTTAGTGATGCAGAGAATAAAATTTGTTACATAGCTGGCCACATTAGAAGTAACCTCTGTTGATCTTAGACGTAAGCGAAATAATCTAACTGTAGTATAATACGCTAAAGAAAAACCGTACTCACGGAAATTTACAAAATCTTTTTTTTTGTAGTACTCTATCAGGTGAATAATGGAGAGTTAAGCATTAAGATGCACTTTTTTTTCATAGAGAAGACCATTTTGGCCATTAAAATGTAATAATTACACTGCGTAACACAACATCAAGCATTAAAATTATTATTCCTTAGTTGCCATATTGTGTATGGCATTAAAATGACGTTTTTTTCATGATCATGCAAATGGATATGTGCACAGAATTTAGTCTAATGTCTTACCAATATTCATCATCGGTATTTTTTCGTCAAAAATAAATTGCTTTTTCTTCTATTCTAATTGTGGTTGAATAGAAAGGGAAGAAATAGGGTGTTACTGTGTGTGTGGCAGAGATGTCCACAACGACGCTGCCGCCGTGGCCGTAGAGTCGTGGTAGCGACAGATTATCAGCCGCGATGGGCATCTATGATGTCTACACCCCCACCGACACCCTATGCAAAGCAAAAAAGGAATGATGAATTTTTTTTATTTATCTTCTGTTGCCAATAATTGAAGCAGTTTCATGTCAAGTTTTGAAATTTCGATCAATTATCTTATTTTCGTTTGTGAACAAAAACGATTCTGTATTGATTTCACTTGGATAGAGTCTTATGTGTTATTCAGTGAAAATCGAATATAAGGTTTGAATGATATTGTTCATATTGAAAAAATTGAATAACACGAGTTTTTATGGTTCACTCGCATGATCGAGTACGATCGTCATTAGCAAAGTGATTTATTCAAATTATTGAATTATACAAAGTATCGGCTTGCTCACTTGCTTATGTAGCCTTACTGATGGTCAACAATATTTGCTCTCTTTTAATTAAACAAATTTCTTTGCATCATGCAATCATTTACATTAATTACGATGAATATAATAAAAGCCATGATTCAATAATTTTATTTACTAAGTTAGCAATATATTAGGAAATGCATTTAATTAAAACCAATGAAAAATAATGCATTGAAAGTAGATACTTTTAGTTTATTAGCTGATGAACAAATATTTAAGTGAGAATATTACGATAATTTGTCTTTTTAAATCTGTTCCGAGTAAGAGTATATGACCACTAGATAAAAAGTATTTATTTGTGAATGATAATACTTTTGACAAGAATATATTGAGAAAAAAAGCCTACACACATACAAATGACGAGATGCCTGAAAGGAAGCGCATCATGACACAATATCAATGGAATTCTATGAATTTGTGTTCTTTGTCATAGACGACGGTCTATGTATACCGATATGATGAAAATATCTTAGCGAATTCTAAAAGTTCAGACAGATGGTAACGAACGAAGTAGAGTTTCATACATACACTAAATGACAACCGAGAATAGCACATTAGTATTGAGAAGAGGACATCAAACTGACATGAAGTGATCAGAATATCCAAGAAACTAAAGCACTTCACATTAAAATTTGTTGAGTTCGAATTTCAATAGAAAACTTTCGTAAAGAACATATTGATCAAATGAAATTCGAGAAAACTAGTCTTTTCTTCGTCTAGTCATTTGATTTTGTATTCATTGAACACTCTGATTTTGTGAAAACCTCATTATAACATGCTGTATTACCTGTCTGTCTTCAAAATAAATTTACGAAATATCAAATAAGTCTCTTTATGACATTATATCGCCAAAAATAATCAATATTTGAATATATTTATCACATTATTTTATCGAATTAATTCTTCCCTTAACCAATCTCTACATTTATAGGCAGAAAATGCGACACATGCGAATAAAGTTTATTGATTATTTCTACAATTCTTTTATCAACCAGATATGAAGAAATAGAAACGGTAAGCTCAACTTTGGTCGAAAGTAAAGTACTGAAAAAAGCTTTAGAAAAATAAAAACCAAAATTCTATAAGAAAACCTGTATCTAAAGATAATACATGATGATGTTATCGTTGTACCAGCAATATCGACTGATGAGGTGTGGATGTGAGTAAATAGTTGAAGAGAAAACACATCAGTATCCACATACCTACACATCCATCCTCACCCTAATTTGAGGTTATTATACTAGTATAAGTTCTCGTATTTGTCGATATAATTCAAATATATGGGCTTTAACCCTTTGAGGACCATGTGGCATACGTTGTCCCACCTAGTTTTCAGTAAAGAAAATGTTTGCTCCATATTAAACTGTTATAATCTTCAAGGTAAATAGGTCGCCTACCTGACATCTCATGCAGGTCTTTTCTCTCTTTCTTCCTATCATATAGATCCTTCTCAGATGTCTTCCTTTCTTTCTCCTACTATATAATAACGCATGATTTCACCCTCTCTTTTCTCGATACATTGTTATGAGGTTTTTATCTGATCATTTTGAGCCAAATATAACAGGTTGATTGAAGAACCATTTTTCAATTGAAAAAAAATTCAGTCCTCAAAGGGTTAATCAATTTTATGAAATTATAAGAAAAACATGTACAGAATATTATGCTTCAACGTTCTTCTGAAGTACATCGAAACAGAGGAAATGTTGGTGATGCTGTCAGTATATGGATATGGCGGCCAGTGTAGAGTGTGTGGATTGTCATTATACGTATCGATCGTTGTGTGAATGCGTGATTATCTCTCTGAATCTTCTTTTCACTCAGGCCGACATCCACATCGTATTTGCGCCTTATCAACGCCTATCTTTTATACATTAGGTAATCCAACTACTCATCTTTGGCATACCCAACATATGCCGACGATTAACGAAGAAATCAGACATATAAATCCGATAATTGTTGTAATAATTCCACTGATAAATTGTACCAGACCATGAGCCATAAACGAATCATAGCAATCTTTTTGCCCATTTTTCCAACTAATCCATAAGCCAATGGACGCGCCCAACATAATAAATGCCGCTCCCAAGAGTACAACAAAGGCTATCTTTTTTTGTTGGTGAATATTACGGGGCTTCTCTGTTAAATTACTTGTGGGATGCTTCATTTTCAATACAAATCAATCTACAAACATTCTAAGTGGCATGAAACAAAAATCAAAAGTGACTAATGATGACTCTTCCCTGGTACATCTTATTGAATTCAATTCATTGTCGATGTACTAGATTCAAGTAATGTAAAATAGTCCTGTTATTTTCTTCCGAATAATTTTTCTTGACAAGTACTTAGTCAGACACCTGAACAATAATTTTGATTGTTGCCTAGTGTCCTGTCAAGCGCAGAGCGGCCTAAACTGAGGGAACAGGTAAAACCCTCTCTCTAATCCTGAAGAGTATACGTTTTTTTAGCGCAGATCTGAGAATTTTTCTTCGTTCTGCACGATTTTAGTTATGTTTTCCCACGCCCTCTCCTCCAAATCCAAGCCACTTCGTGACAACTCTGAGCTCACGCTTCTCATTATAACTAATGCAGAGAACAAAACTATCGTTCACCTTGTTGCCATTTCAGCCAGATCGTTTTATTACTTTACGCTAACCGTTTCTTACCAGATTTCCCATCAAATTTCAAAAAGAGTATTCAGAGCTCTGATTCAAAAGAGAATCACTGACAATTTATCATTTTTCAGTATCACTTTCGGCTTTAGCTGAAAATATTATTTATTCTTTCAGGCTTCAGAAAAAAATAACACGGGGTGGTGAACACAAGTCGCTGGAGTGATATAGTATGTTAAATGTGAATTCCTATTTGGATCATAGATGATACAAATGTGGAACTCTGCTTCCGATTTTCTAACTTCGATCTAAGCTCTTGTAATAGTTAGCCGACAATAGAGACAATTTCATTACCTCATGTATGTCTATGAAGCGTATGGAGGAGACTAGAATGCATTTGATCATATCGGGTATCACATACGAATAGTTTCCTTGAATTTCGACAGAATCATTCCGCCTGATATTGAGCGAGGAAAGAGGATCTGATCAAAATCGTCCATGGCTAATATTCCCACCGACATGTATTGAATGATGAAAAAAAAAAGTGTAATACAATATGCAGGCAGTCAGCTATTCTCTTATTATTCTCTTCTCCCAGTACGCAAATATTTGAAGAATGACATCTCTGCACCTTCTTCTTTTCTTCAATCGTAAAAGAAAGAGGCTCTTTCTTCGCTTCACTATCGAGATAAGTCAATGTAAAATAATTACCAGTGAATTGTCTTTCTCTTTCATTCTTCAATTTTACATTCACGGCCGCTTTCGTGCACACACGTTGAAAAGAAAAGATAAAAATAAGATTTTGCACATACACACCACTCATCTTCGTATTTTCCGAAAGCATCTGACAAGGCTCACAATGCACAACGAACAAGGGCAGAAGAAGCAAGAATCTTAATAAAATTTCTTTATCCGAACACACTCTAGGTAATGGTCCACTATCTTCCTATTTGATCATCTTCTAACTTATCAGGTTCAACAGAGATGCTGTTTGTTTCCATGATTTTCTAACGAGATTCTCCATGAAAAAGTCCAATATTATTGAAGAATGAAAGAATAGGCTATATTTTCAACTTTGAATTCAAGGCGTATGTGGGTCTGAATCTGGGTGTGGAATGAAAGGTGTGGGCGACGAGAAGTCTCACACTGGACACCTACTCCAATTTACTTAAAAAATACCAAATAACCGAATAAAATAAAATTATAACAACTGTTATAACTAATATGCGTTCTCTAAAATTTTATCATTTCAGCAATATTTACATTTAGAACTACTCATTTAACATCGCTATACTGGGAAATCCTAATTGTATTTTTCAGCTACATCTTTAATACATAGCTTCTTTGCTCTAAATGATTACATATACGAGAGATGCCATAGTATGTGACAAACACTATCTGATTCTTCGTTTCGTCTGTTCAACCATCATAGAATGTGGGTGTTCTCTTCACTCGCACTCACACCCTTATTATTTGATTTTGAGTATTTTCGTTGAGTTGAATATTTTTCGTGATATTGCTACATGTAAAGATACACATATTGTTTTTCACCTATCACAGTAAGTAAATGATAGAGCTATACTAATATATTTCTATTGACCTGTTGTTAGTAACCATCGATCAATAAAATAGTTGAACAATTTATAATTTTCAATGCATTGATTTACATATATACACTGAATGAAATAACATCATTGAATATTCTTCTATGATGAACAATGACGATTGTATACGAAAAACCAAATAGAGGCATTTCAAGACAAATTGCGAACTAAAAAATAGAATAAAAGGATTATATTGCAAGAAGAGATGTATATGGTTGTTACTGATTAGTTTTAGATTAGAATAAGATACGTATATGTATTCATTAGTCCAATCCTTTTTGTGAAATACGATCCAAAATGAGTCTTGAAGTATAAAGTGTAGAGTTTGGGTCCACTCCGCTTCGCCCTCCACAGACTACGACAGACACTTTGGAAATTCATCAGAGACCCTGAATAGACATGTGTAGAATCAGTAAATAAAACTTTATTGAGATCGAAACCGAAGTTCAAGACTATATGATGTCGTTAACTCTGCCACTTTTCAAGTAAAGTTTTTCGTACATCAGAAATTAGTTTATTGTTATCATTAGGCCTGCAACGAACCCGAACTCGAGTTCCAAGTTCGGACCGAACGGTTCGGGGTTCGGGTTCGGGTTAGGATTTCTACATTAAAAGGTGAAGCTATTAATAATACATCATAAAGAGCAAGCTTTTGCATCCGAATTCTTTTCCAGGCAATCTACTTACATGTGAAGAAAAGAAACAATAGAGGTTTTTAATCAAGATTAAATTATTCTTGATTATCTGCATATCATAAAAAACTACGTGTAAAAATTCAACGAAACCGCGTACGATTTTTGTACATAAAATCATTGCCTATGATATAGAAATAATGCTGTACTATCCAAAACATAATGGATGACATTATATCTCTCTGAAAGGTTTGTGAAAAACTTTTTTTTGGTTGACTAATGCCATGTGCTTCGAAATTATATCATGCAGTAAAAAGATTCTTGTCTTTCGATCGATATATTTAATGAATGATCAGAGTAGCATGTTAGCTACTATGAATAAGATAAACAAATTCATAGATTGAAAAGCATCATGGTTTAACGTAGAAAGCAGCAAACATTCTAGGAATTAAATCTGTAAATCTAACTATTCTTGGCTTTCGATATAATGTATAAGATTTTCAAGGGACGTTAATGAAATAAAATTGTATGCTGTGTAACTTATGTATATAAACTATCTTTGAGAAAATTGTTTACGTAAACAAATTATGTGAAAATTTATAACGAGAATTAACTATAATGATCAATTCTTCGTATGGCAGATCAGATATTCATGTAGAAACATCTTACGTTCACACTTGCATATAAGAGTAGAGCACTAATAAAGCTTAAATCATTTCAAGAGATAGATTACTTGTTCTTTATGACGTAGTAGCCAACTTTTTAAATTTTATTTATTTTTGATATGCAAGAAAAATATTATTTTCAAAATCTTCAATATGAAAAAGATAACAAAAAAAAATCCTTCAAAAAACAAAAAACAAAAAACAAAAACTTTTTTAATACATCAAATATTAATACAATTCCTATTTATTTTCATTTGATAGTTTATCTTTGAGAAAAACTGAAAAGCCAAGATGAATCACCTGAATAATGTCGAAAATGAAAATGTCGATGCTAAAATTTCGAAAATAAGAATGTCGAACGTAATAAGGGCGAAAATAAAAATGCCGAAAGAAATAAAGTCGAAAATAAAAATGTCGAACAGCGAAAAAATCGAAAGATAAAAATGTCGAAAAGGAAAAACATCGAAAGATAAAAATGCCCAAAGCGAAAAACATCTAAAATTAAAGATGTCGAGAACCAACTGTCCAAATAGAACTGTCAAAAGCAAACGTTTTTATAATATGAAATTACAGAAGTTTCATATTGATGTAGAATGATTCAAAAATAAAACAATATTTTTCAGTTGCACATTTATTCACTATTTGAGTAATTCTGTCTTCGTTATATTTTTTTTTCATAACTGCTCTATTTTTAATTCTTAATAAATTCTTTATTCTAACAGTAGAACAATAAAGTGTCCTCTACTATGTTCCTATACTTTTTTCGACATTTTCGTATTTCGAAATTTTCATATTTCGACATTATAATTTTTCGGCATTTTGATACTTCGACATTTTTTTTCGATTTTACTTGTATTCGACATTTTTATTTTCGACATTTTTTCGTCTTTTTTTCGGCGTTTTCCTTTTCGACATTTTAACGTTTCGACCAAATTCAGGTTAAACGCCAAGATTTTCTGAAGAAAGTCGAGCTCGTTGTTTACGTCCATAATAAGCAGATATGCTAAATGCTGATTCAGATTTTGTACTTGTACTGGGAGAAGCTAAATATTTTTGTGCAAGTGGTGTCAAATTAGGTAACAATGATTTGTTTTCCTTCCAAAATTGTACAGGATTATATGAATCAGGTGATGTTGATACATAATCGCCAGCTAATTTCTTGTATGTTTTAAATTCATCACTTAATAATTTTTTTGATGTTGAAGATTGTTTTTTGACCTGTTGACTATCTTCATCAGCTAATGAATCAACAAAATAATTGAGTAACGATTTCTTAAAATTTTTTTCTGTTCTTGATAATCCAGTTGTATTTGAAGATGTTGTTGATGATGCTTGTGTTGAACTATTTGATGTTTTATGACGAATTATATATTTTATTTCATTTTCTAGTGTATTAATTTCAGTATTTGTCATAACTGATATAGCATATGGATCAAAGTACCCATAGAACTAGAACAAAAAGAATAGTTTACTTATGTCATTAAAAATGCATCAATAACATTGCAAGCTGCTCACCATAATTGTTTTTGTTTGCAATGGATCTTGCACCATAGTATAATAAATCATTTTACTTAATAAACTTTTTTTCATATTATTAAATAATGGATCATCTGTTGGAATAATTTTTGATAAGAAATCTTTTTCAAGACGATGAAAAATATAAAATGTAATGCCTATCGTCGGATAATCACTACCACTAATGGCTCTAGTAGCTCTATAAAACGGCTTTAATATTTTAATTAATAATTCAATTGTATACCAACAATCACTTGTAAATTCCAATGAAGTTAAATGTTGTTGTTTTTTTTTTGTTATATCCAAATTTGTTTTATTTTGAAATAATTCAATGATTATTGGCCGATACAAATTCAATGTGTACAACATTTTATAACTTGAATTCCAACGAGTACCTACATCCAATATTAACGAACGTTTAATTTTACTATTACTGTATTGATTATATTCATTAGCTTTTCTATTTATAAATGATGATAAAATTGAAGAATCTTTTATCAGACCAATAAGCTGCCGACTCTCTAGATAAAAAGATATAAAAAGGAATCAATAATATACATTGGGTTCTCAAAAAAAAGAAGTCGATAAAAATATCGATTCATAGAACATAATAAAAAACAATACTCACTTTCGACAATTAAAGAAATATGTGTATCAAGTTGTGTTGATGATGAATCAGAACTATCATTGGAGTTTATGTCAACTTCAACTTCAAAATTATCCTTCAAGGCTTCAGCTGAATGTTCACTATCGCATTCACTATTTTCTGAAATTGATTCATATTCATCTAAAGAATTACCACCACTATCACCTTCAGCAATACTATTATCTTCTTCATCATTCTTAAATAAACAAATGACAAACAAATAATTGTTTTATCAAAGCAAAACAATGCTTACTGAATCTTCATTTTCATTATCTGGTTCAGTAAGTTCACGATCATTTTCAATATCACTTACTTCAACAATTAATTGTTCATCATCAATTATATTGATTTTCTTTAAAGAATGACTAAGCCGTATTTCAGAATCGAGTAAGTTTGTTTCATTCGTTGTAACGTTTTTCTTTTTTTTTGTCTCCATCCAGAGACCAAGACCATTGCACACAATAAGATGCAAAACGTGTGCTTGACATCGAATACGTGTTATATCAGAACGAGATAAATAATCGAACATTTTAATCATATTTGGTGCACCATCACACGTGATACTGGTAACTTTATCAAACACCTGTAATTCAATTAAGAGCTTCTCGATTTCCAAACCGATCAAATCCGAAAAATGTCTTTTTTGAAAGGAACAAAATCGTAATATTGTAGATTTTGAATCGAATTCGTCCGTGATATAATGACCTGTTAATACTAAAAATGATATACCTGTGATGTCGGTCCAAAAATTCGTACTGATGGAGATGCATGATAACTTAGATAATGAATTCACCATAATATAAAAATGCTTTGTATGAAATCGTTTTGACAGAGTACTAATTTTATTTCGATGGGGAGGCTTGTATCCTAAACGAGACATAAATGTATACAATAATTCTTTCATGCAAATCAAATATTATTACCTGGTAAAGCTAAACGGATAAATTTTTCAAAGCCAGATCTGGAAAAATCAACAAAACTGCCTCCATCTTCAATAATAGCTGTTATTACAGCCTGATCCAATTTCTTCTTCAACTGTAACGGAATTCGTTTATAATTTGAACGATTGACGAGCTTCTCCTTCTGTTTGAATTCATTAAGTTTGTGCACATCACGTAAATGTCGAATAAGTGTGAAAGTAGTATACAGTGGTGTTGATAGGACTGTTGTACAACCATCCACTAACAATTTAGCTTGTAAACCTTGATCGCCATAGATTCGGGTGTGGGTGTGTGGGTATGGGTGTGGGAGTGTGGATGTGGGTGTGTGGATGTGGGTATGGGTGTGAGTCATTTATCATATCGAGTCATCCCCACCCCACCCCTATCCCCACTCCCCCCATCCACACCCCCACCCACAACCCAGACCCAGACCCAGACCCAGACCCAGACCCACACCCACCCACACTCACACCCACGTTGCGATTGCTGCCTGGCGATTTTAAAATACATAAATGTTGGTCGAAGAAACGAGAATTCAGTCAGCAGCGCCAGCTGAGATATCTGTTGCTAAAGTAGCGTTGAAAACGATTTGTGTCATATTCTACAAAGATTCGATTCGATATCCGAGAGAATGATTTTCGATTTTGAAATCTCAAACAATTGAGAAAACACTTTTAGAGGTCCCATTTTTTGAAATTATTAGAAAAATGCTCAGGCAAGTGTATCAGCGGTTGGATTCTACATCAGCATCTTCGATAATCTGCCCAAATTACTACGGTCATCGAGATTCCGATATCATATTGTAATTCTGATAGTAGCAAATATGCGAATGCATGTTCAATATTGAAACGACGTGACCTGCTCGAACTCAAACCAATAACCCATCATGAAACCATTGAAAAAGAACATCGGTTCGATTGACAGCACTGGTGCTTAGTTAACCGGGAGAGACATACATCTATCTTCTGATACAGGAATCATTGGGTCACATCAATTCTCAATTTGATAATACGATTAGTTATGTCAGGAAGGCTGCATCAATAGGAGACAATAGCCAATTGTGACAATATTTCGAACGCACACTTTCTTCCCATGTAACCGCTCACGCACGTTCTCTTCATTGTTGTCTGTCACTGTATGTCCCTGGTATCTTCTTCTGTATCTCTACCTGTCCTTCTCTGTCGTATGCGCTTGTGTTTTTATTTCATGTGATTAGATCAATCATGTATTTCGATTTCGAAGGAAAGATACAGCTGCATACGTCATGAACATGAGCGCTCCGACTAGGGGATCGTGGGTATCGGTACGGACCCCCGCTTTTTCAAAAGCTTTCAGCGCACTTGGTCATGTAAAAGCAAAACAATGACTAGACAGGTGTGCAAGGTACTTGTGAATGCTAACTTCATCGATCAGGAACAAATATTCGTCTGAGTCCGAATAATATGTAAAAATACCAACGCCTCGAATTCTCTTTTCCAGAAATTCGAAAATTCACTATTGTATTTCTGGGTGTGGGTGTGGGAGTGTGGGAGTGTGGGTGTGGATGTGGGAGTGGGAGTGGGTGTGGGTGTGGGTGTGAGTGTGGGTGTGAGTGTGAGTGTGGGTATGGGTGTGGATGTGAATGCGAGTGTTCCCTTTATTAGTATATTCATACGGACACCCAAACCCCACACTCACACTCACACCCATACCCCCACCCTCCCATACCCACACCCACACCCTAACTACATGCAAAATACGATGCGAAGTCAGTAATTCTAATTATAAAGCAAAAGAATTTGAATTTGTAGTAATTCATTCATAAGTCACTGCTATTTCAAATCCTGTGGAGCTGATCATTATTATTCTGGAAGGAGGAAACATTAATACAGCGACATAATTATTAGATTATTTAGTGAGTACTCTATGCGTCATATAAACCATAGCAACACGAGTAGCATCGAACTTTATTCACTCCTCCAACTGTTTCGATCATGCCGTTGAGAGCGTTTGTTACTTCTAATGCTTGAATTCACGTATCCAATATAATATTTTTCAGTATAGAAGAAGAATTCAGAAACAGAGCTCTTTTTGTAACGTGATTGAAAAAATATGTCATGTGGTCAGTCTCGTGCTGGTGGATGCATTCGTACTACTATGGTCGTAGGCGTAGAGCATGTTTTCTATAATCTTATCCGCAAAACCTTGTTCTACTCTCAACAAATTATTTCTAATATGTAAATGAGAGCATTAGAGGAAAAAAATACCCTTAATGGCATAATTGGAAACAGTTGGAGGATTGAACAAGATTCGACGCTGCTCGTTTTGCAATGGCTTATGCGAAACATAGACTGCTTACTGTATCGTCAAAAGCTTAGGTCGACACATTAATTTTCGCTCTATTCAGAACAATAATGATCAATTCCTCATGATGATTATTAGCAACGACTAATGAATCAATTACTACTACTGCTACTACTTTTTTTTAACCCATGAGAATACCAATCAGGAAGTAAATAATATATTCGTATCTTACGATAAAATTTGTCTGAATTTAGTATTGCTCGCGCTAATTTATTGCGATGAAAGAAAAATATCATTCGATCTTTATAATTTAAGGAAAACTTAAAGTCCCTGAAAAAATCTTCGAGAAAGAAACCAGACAGCTAGGTAATACAAAGACTAGAAACTCGGAACTCGAGAATTTCGAGTGTTCTAGAAAGGTTCAGACAATCCACTACGTGTAAAGTCTGTTTTGTTTTCCTTCCGATTTCAGTGAGTTGAACATTTCATTAAAGCTCACAAAGTGTCATAAAGGACGAGAAAAAGACTACATTCAAACAGTCAATGTCCCAATTATGTTGTAATCGTGTCGTGTATGATAACTTTAGAAAGTCGACTCATCAAAGTTATGATATGGTTTAGTACCTTCTTTCAGGCTTTGATCCTTAATTTGCTGAGAAGAAAATGAGAGAATCTGTGACAACACTAAATGAATCACTTGTGCAAGTCTAACTTGACAAAACACCGTGTTGTCTCATATGACGAAAGCCACTACAATTTATTGAATCAAGACTCAAACTAATTTGTAAACTCTTATGTTGCTTTTTTTATTGAAATCAAACAAATATCGCTGATCATAGGATATAATTCATGACTTCTCTTCTTTCTCAGTTAGCGATAAATCTGAACTTCAGCTCATAAGAGTCTCGGAGAGCCTTTCTCTTTCACTCTGAAACTCTCTTTTCTTGTGTCGAAATTGAAGTCAAAAACAATATAGGCATATATAGAAAGCCTCTTGTTTTATGTCAGAAAGTACAATTACGCTGCTGTCTAATCGACTCAGACATATTCTGTCATCAGATTACTAAATGAATAAACATCTACAGATGAGATGCTGTAGATTCACTAGATATGGTGTATCTTTTCTATGACTCATTGATTTGTCTAATGTCTCGTTGCTCTTTATTATTCTGCCTGATGCATTTTGCGAGAAAAATATGAAAGTAACCAGCTCTATTTTAAAAATAGACTTTATAGTCATTTTATAAAGTTAAATGTCTAAAACTTTCAAGATAAGCAATATTTTACTCCAATAGCTTAATACAGCTTTTTAAACTGTATTATAGAGCAACGAAGCCCTGACTCTGACTCCTATGAAATTTTTGGAACTATGATCAAGATCCTAGAGATCCAATATGAATTTCGGGAATGCAAATTATTATTAAAAATGTTCTAGAAATCCCACGGAAATCCCGGAAATCCCATGAAAATCCAGGAAATCCCATGGAAGTCCAGGAAATCCCATGGAAATCCAGGAAATCCCATGGAAGTCCAGGAAATCCCATGGAAATTCAGGAAATTCAGGAAATTCCGGCAATCCACCGTTTCCCCTTTGTCTTCTACTTTCTTAGACAACTCTATAGGAAACAGCCTTCTCAACGAATGTCCTAGAATGTATACAAATTTCTAGTAGAATTTTGAAAAAGTACTCTGCGTTTTCGTATAATTTTTGTGAACTTCTATTGGTACACGGTGTGTGAAAAATTGAATATGATATCTTGTTCAGTCCAGGGCTACGCGAGTCGAAGCAACCAGCGTTACTTGTGAATAGGAGCTTCTTTCAAGTATGGTAGTCCATTTACAGACCGGACCTAATATGACTAATTTTAAGCTAAAATTTTCAAGTAAAGCCATATTTTTCTAGAAGACGCTCTAGTAAATAATATCGTTTGTTGATGTGTTTGTATGCAAACGGATTTTTAGCAGAAATTTTAAAGAGTGTGACACATTATTACAAAAGTGTCGCCAATCTATATTGTTTCATTGCCTGTCAGCAAACTGAATATAACCTCTTTTTGTTTGGAATAATGTGGATATCGTCGCCGTGGTTTAGTTTTTCAGATTTTCGTTAAGTATCAGTGTGAGTGTGTGAATTTGATTGAACGTATCTGTGGCAAAAATATTCATCCGGATCACATACTATTGTACACAACAAAATTGAGGCTAATGTCAACGGACACACACCTACCCACTCTTTCGAAATATTCGGTACTAGCTGTGCTGAAGGCTGTAAAGCACTATAAAATATCAAAGGGCCGAATATACA